CATTATGTTTGCGTGTATTTTTTTCGATTGTTGGTTTAGTGGATTCTTCTAATGACACCAATTAATAATGAAATGGAAAATTTCATGTTTTTATATCGTATGTCAAAACTTGATATAATTCTATATTTATAGTATTTATATTTGTATTAAACGATTTATCAATATGAAAATAACCTTAATTAAGTTAATATTCGTTGTTCAAGTTTCATTATATAGGTTTTTATATATGGTTTTTTGTAGGTTTCGGTTTTGTTCATAAATGATGTGGCATTTTTATCTACGGAGTCATCGACTGTGGGAATTCATTCGCCGAAGTGTGGAGTCGGTGGTGAGAAATGTTTTCAATGAAATTATAGTAGTTATTAAAATGTAAGAGAAATTACATATTCATTTAATAAATAACTTACTTAAATTTTGTTGTTTATTTTATTTTATTTGACATACAGTTTTTTTTGAAAAATATTAGGAATGTGTTAAATGTTATATATATGCGAAGTAAGGTTTATAGGAATAGTTAGGCTATAATATAGTTTTTAGTGTGTAAAAGTAGGTGTGTTTTTTTGCTGTAAATAGTTTTTATATCGTAGATCATAACTTGATATAATTCTATATTTTTAGTATTTATATTTGTATTAAACGATTTATCAATTTGAAAATAACCTTAATTGAGTTAATATTCGTTGTTTAAGTTTCATTAGATAGGCTTTTATATATGGTTTTTGTAAGTTTGAGTTTTGTTCATAAATGATGTGGTATTTTTATCTACGGCGTCATCGACTGTGGGAATTCATTCGCCGGAGTCTGGAATCGGAGGTGAGGAATGTTTTCAAGGAAATTATAGTAGTTATTAAAATGTAAGAGAAATTATCTATTCATTTAATAAATAACGAAAATAATTAATTTTGTTGTTTTATTTTATTTTATCTCACATACAAATTTTTTGAAAATATATATTAGGAAATATGTGCAATGATTTAACTTTTTGAGCTCCTAATCTATATTATTCAACCCTCATTAAGCCATCCACGTATGCACCCGCGTGGAATTCACTTTTTTTTTGTTTTTTTTTGTTTTTTTTTGGATTTATTTTTTATTATTTTTGGGTTGAGCTATATTATAATATGATAGTTTTAAGGTTCTTTAAGCCATCCACATAGGCAACCACGTGAGACTTGTTTTTTTGTTTTTTGTTTTATTATTCGTTCTGGATTCATTTTTAACTATTTTGGGTTTGAACTTGTTAAGGTTTAGGGTTTATACAACTATTTTGATCTTTAAAACAATAAGCCCAAAAAAAACATAAGAACCTTATAAACAAAAAACCCATATGATAATAATCTAAATAAAAAAATCAAAAATATATGATAGCTGCGTAGTGTGAATCTACAATCTTGCATACTTAATTAGACACCTTATACCACTTGGCTAAAGTGTATTTCATTGTTTGTGACCATCTTACCAAGACTATGTGTGTTTAAAAAATATTTTTATGATGATGACATTAATTGGTTTATGCATGAGAGCAGTGGGAATTGAACCCATGTCCTTGCAGACCAAACATGGGGTCTTAGACCAGTTGGCTAAACTGATATTCTTTGTTTGTAGCCATTTTAAACAAACTATCTATTTTAATATAAAAATGTAGGACCCACAATCTGCCTATGTGAACATCTTAAGTAGCCTTTAAAATGTATCATTATAACATAGATTCTGAAAATAAAAGTGTTGTTTAATAATATTCAATAGTCTCTTCCACTTCCACATTATTCTCTTCCACTGCTACTTTCATGTCTTTCTCTTTCACTCTCAATCATATCTCACCTAAGCATTTTTCTCTCACCTAAGCATGTTTCTTCTTCTTGTCTCTTTCTGATTTTCATGTTTTGTTGTGTACGTTTGAATTATATTAATTCATATACAACTTTCAGATTTTTTTTTATCGGTGTGTTTCTATATAAAATATTAATTTTATTCAAAACTACAAATTATTAATAATGAAAAGTAGATAAAGATAATATTTTTATTTTAATATTTTTTCTTAGTTACTAATACAAGTTTAACTATTTATAAAATAAAATTTTTATTTTAATGTTTGTTAAATTAATAAAATTTCATATAGTTACTACTAGCTTATAATATTGATTTCTATATTTATAAAATATTAATTAAAATTTTATACTTTTAAAAGTAAAAATTAAAGAAATTATGATGTATTATTTTTAAAAAAATTGACGTAAATGATAATACTTATTTAGTGATTTATTAATAGAAAAAAATTAATTATATAAAATGATTTAAAAATATAAATAATACATTATATTTAGGTCTAATTACAAATTTGAACTAATTAATAATATTTATTACATTATTAAGTGAAATATAAAAAAATATGTATTTTAAGATTTGGTGTGATTAATAGTATTACACCAAATTTGGTTTAACACTATTTACTTTACAAATTTGGTTTAACACTATTCACTTTACACCAAATTTGATAGGATGGTGTCAAGTTTGATGTTTTGTTGGAGATGAATTTACACTAAATTTGATGTTTTGGTGTCTTTATTGGAGATGGCCACTAGTAGATGTTTAGGACATATATTTTAGCACTAGGTGATTTTCCCGTGCTCATGCACGGATAAATTTTTTTTTAAAAAAAAAACATAGTATAATGATTGATTAGTTTTTTATTTTGAATTTTAAATAATTTTCTACTTAATATGTATAATTTAATATTATAGTTTTGAATTAGACATGTAATTTTTTATATGTAATATCTAATCGATGTAGTTATCACTTGAATATATTAATATGTTGATAAGTGTTTTACTTTAAATTTAGGTTTTTGTTCTCTTAAATATATAAATATATATATTAGTGAGATTTTGTATAACATAATATATTTTTAGAATCAAATAGACAAAATAAACTAAAGTATGGATTGATTAAAAATTACATAAAGAAATATAAAAATAATATTTCAAATCTCATAGATATTTTTATTTTTATAAGTTTTGAGGTATTTTATTTTTATTTTGAATAAGTTTTGAGGTATCTATAATTTATATGTATAAAACTTAATAAAATAGTATGATTTAATTTCTTATTTTTCTTAATATAAAAACTATATATTTGGGTAATTTTCCCTTCTTTTTTGCGAAATCATATTATATATATAAACATTATTAGAATTTTTTTTTGAAAAATTGTAAACATTTCCTTTTTACTATATACATGCTATTGGAAAAAGTACAAAAAAGTAAATTAACATCTAATTAATATAAATTATCAAATAAAAAGGAAACTAAATTTAATAATAATAATTAGATGTACTATTTTAAATTCATTAAGGTATCTCCGTAATCAACCATCACGAGAATTAATGTGAGCACAACATGTAAGAAACTGACATCTCAAATAATATTATAGAGATATATATATATATATATATATATATATATATATATATATATATATATATATATATATTGCCGTTTTTATGCCCTACCCGTATCTATGAATGTTAAGTTTGCTATTTCCCGTCCCCGTTCTTGTCCCAGTCTCCGGTCCCGTCCCAGTCTCGGGCAGTTTAGGCGACCACATAACAAATACGGCTAGTGTGTTGAGGAAGAGCATAGGATGTTGATAGTCTGCTGTGTGAGAGGCTATCAAGTACCTGCAAGCAAAATTGTCTCATCAGATTTTTCTTTCAGACAATCTCATCAGATTTTAGTGTCTCATCAAAATTATCACAATGTTCATGCCCCCTCTATATCTCCTCTATTGCCCTTGCTCTATCTTCCTTTTGTGTCGGCCAATTTGTTTATTCGAACTTCCTAAAATTCAAACATGTTTTGTATAATTCAAACAGGTTTTCTATAGTGTTTTTTGATAATTTCAACATTTAGCTTCAAGTTTTATGATGATAAAAGCAAATGCTTTTCAGACACTAAAATGGCTTATTTTGATTATATAACCTTTGCTTTTATTTTTTTTCCTCACACATAACCTTTGCTTTCATCATAAAACTTGGATCTAAATGTTATTATATATATTTGCACAAAAAAAAGAAAAATGTTATTATATTGATTTCATCATGAGTTTTCATATGTTATTATATTGATTTCATCTATCGAAGATACGATTCCATCCAAGAAAATAAAAATTACGAAAACGTCACTCAACTGAAAACAAAAATTGTACAACATAAACAAGAAATGTAAACTCTCTTATTGGTAATGGGGGATTATTTCTTTACTCAATTCAGAGAGTGAGGGCGTTTCTAGCCATAGATAAAGCGCCGTCATAGGACTGGTTTCCGCCTATAAAGCCGCTCATGTGAACAAAAACGCAACCGGGGATCTCAGCAGCTTTAGAGAGTTCCTCATCTCTAAGTCCTCTCCATTGCTCAGGAAGAGCCTTTCGGCTCTCAAACCTGTCCGGTGCAACCGCCACTGCTTGAACTCTCCATTGCTTTCCTCGCTCGTCCTGTACATCATTTCCACTAGTTACCAGTTAAAACCAATTCAAATGATCCCTTTACACAGTTACACTACATTAATAAATTGACGTTTCTTCGTTAGAACCGTTCCTTCATCTATAGCCTATTTAATAGCAACTGCGTTGAACATCTGAGATACTGCAAGCATACCTGGTAGATGACGTATTTGATGAGGGGTTCGATCTTCATCTCTTGTTCAAGCTCGAACAAATGAAGCTTCCACTGCTCACCCACCCATTGAACCAAAAGGACTCAGAATAGTGTACTACTATCAAGAATTGATAAAAAAAAAAAGGGGAATAACTTACAGGGCAGAAGTTTTTCAGTTCCATGATCTCCCCACTTGGGTCTGTCTTGAATCTTTCCTCAAGACATTGAATCACTATTGATCGAGCTGGTAACCACGATCTTACATGAAATCTTACACTCTACAACGCAAAATGTAAAATATACTCAGTTTTAGGAACATATGTAAAAAGAGCTCAAAAACTTTAACTTACTTGGAGGAACTCTTCGCCAGCAAGAGCCATAGCAAGCTGGAAAGCCTCATTCTCCTTCTCCTGTGACTGGTCAGGATCAATCCAATCCAGGTTTAATCTCCCAATCCTTGAAGACAGATGTGTGTTGTTCACGTATCTAGGAGGCTTATCAGTATCATACTGATTTATTCCATTGTCCACAGCATCAATTGCCTGTCAAAATTTATAAACAAAAAAGAAAAAACAATAATCAAAATGTGCACAAATAGCTAGAAATAAAATGGATGGATGTAACTGACCTCCATGAAGCTCTTGTAGACAGCTAGAAACAAGCGAAGGACATCAGGGTGATCTTGTTCAACGTTAAGTTCTTTAGCAATGATCTCCTTTCCAAAATGCTGAAGCAAAACCACAACATTCAGATACACATTCTTTCAAAAAGAAATCTCTCAGGGAGAGAGCAAAGCAACTAATTAAACCTTGTAAACGAGACCGGCGCTACTGAGTTTAGTGTTGAATCCGTGCCCAAAAACCTCTTCAAAGCCTTTCTGGTGATGATCATAACGGTCATGGTGGGGATCATAAACACCTCCAACGTCAAGCACTGCATCAAGTTCTGCCAATATCTGCACATACCCGAAGAAAAAACAATATCTTAAAGCAAATGAATTCAACTCAGAGTGTGCGTGAGAGAGAGATTTACAATCAAAACCCTAAATTCTAAAATTAAGCAGTCAATTACGAACAATTAAACAATCTCCGCCTAAACCAAGACAGAACTACCTAAAAAAACAAAACAAAAAAAAAGAGACAGAGCTACTTCAAAAAAAAAAAAGAAAAAAAAGACAGAACTACTTCAACAATTCAAAAAGTAATTATAAAAAAAAAAGACAGCTCAGATTGGCTTGTATTACCTTAGGGTCACGAGTACGGACGATATCGGCGCCGGAGAATTTATGGGAGAGGCGGATCATGAAGCAACCGAGAGCCTCGTCGCAGTGGAAGCTTCCATTATGAGTACCAACTCTCTTGACGGAAACTTCGGAAGGCGAAGATGGAGTGGTAGTAATAGTAGAGTAAACCCTAACGAGTGGAGAAGGAGCCATTGCTGCTGCAAGGAGAGGGAGAGGGTTGAAGTTTCTGATTAAACCCTTTGTTACAGGAAACATGACTGAGAAATTTCTGGGGAAGTTTATCAAATGGGCCCTTTTTATACGGTACAGTTTGGGCCTAATGTGCACCTTTTATCTTCTTCATGTTGTTATGGCTTTTGCACAATCATAGTGTACCTTTGTTTATAGCTGCAAATGATTCCACCATTGTGTGACGTGGATACTGCTTTTGGACATGTCGAGATTGTGTGTTTAGGAGAGGGATGTTTAGTTTTAGAGCATCTCCAATGTATTACTCCATTTTCTACTCTAAAATGGAGTAACTCCAAAATGCAGTTGAGTTTTATTCCAATGTATTACTTTATTTTCTACTCCAAAAGAATATTTTTAATATTATATTTATTTCAAAATTAGGAATATCACCTTTCATTTATACTATTTGCAAAACAGTCCATTTTAAATTTATAGTATTTCTATTAAATACAATATTAACCACAATTAAATTTTCATTATATAAATAAAACTACTCAACAAGGTTTTAAAATAATACATTTAATACATTAAAAATTATATTATATAGCTTAAACACAATAATACATCAATTCTAAAATATTCATTAGAGCTATAATAATTTTCCCACAAATGATCAACTAATGCATTTCGAAGTAAAAAATGAGCTTCTTTATCTTTGATTTCTCTGAAATGGGAAAGAAACGTTTGGAACTTCACATTATTATTTTCTTCAATTTTAATTTTCCTTGACATGACTTCTCTTTCAACTTCAATTGGCACCTCGAGATCACAATCATCTTCTATTATCATGTTATGTAAAAATTTAATAATATTTTATCGGATTATTTTAATAATTTTAATGGATCCGAAAATGATTTATCGGATTATTAAGCAATTATATTTGTTGTAAGTTTTATTTTATGTTATTTCTTTTGTATGGTGCTTATCTTTCATTTTCTATATGTATGATCTTTTATGTTTTATATTATATATATTATGTTGTATAAAAGAGTTCATCAGATGGTTATTTATATAACTAAAAAATATTAACAGTAAATTTTAAAATATATATAGTAAAATAATATTAATATACTTATTTATAATAATATTTTTATTAAAGACGAGGCTATTTATATAATTAAGAAATATTAACAGTAAATTTTCTAATATATAGTAAAATAATATTAATATACTTATCTATAATAATATTTTATTAAAAATGAGGTTATTTATATAATTAAGAAATATAACAGTAAATTTTATAATATATATAGTACCTATTTATAATAATATTTTATTTAAAATGAAACATATATAAATGTGGAGGACTATTTGATAAATAAAAAAGTTCAACTCCATTTTGGAGTAATGAGTTAGTTTACTCCATATTTAGAGTAATCATGTTTGTTACTCCATTTTGAAGTGAGTTTTGGAGTAGGGTTGGAGAAGATTTTACTGCAAAATGGAGTTTGGAGTGGGTTTTGGAGTGGGGTTGAAGATGCTCTTATGGGCTGGGAAGCGAAGGAGACATATCATCCTTTGTTTTTATTTCTGTCCCCAATATGGATGGATTTTTTGATAACTAGGTTGCTTATTTTATTGAGGTATTACACTGATATACGGATTTGTTTTACACCTTTTAGCTTCAATGTTATATTTTTATTCTCAAAGTCTTTGTTTTTGGAGCTAAGAAACATAACCTTGTTACAAAAACTTACTCATAATCAACATCATTAATCCTCTCGTACTGGCTCACTCTTCGTGTCTTTGGGGCTTTCTTTACAGTTTAATCGTCACTGTCTTTCTTCTTCAATGCAAAAACAAAATTAACGTACTTGTGAGTAGATTTCCTATCCAATTTCTGCAAGGCTTAGTTTTCTCTTTGTTTCTTGTCTAGTCTAGTAAAGACACAAAATTAAAAGGTTACCTTGGAATGTTTCTTGTCAAAAAGGATCCTCTTGTTTGATGAGAAGTTTTGAGATGTGTCTCTGAAGAATGCAAGAGTCTGAATATCACCATTTGCGATACTTGCTTCCAGCTACCCAAAGAAACAAAAACGAGAACAAATATTAAGAAAGCACAGAGTGTTGTTGTTGGTTACAGCCTTACAGGTTATAGTGGTTGAAGAGAAGAAGGAGAACCTGAACATGAATGATGCCCAAGACGATGCTTGTAATGGGCAACCAGCTCTCTTCCGGGGAAATGGACAGGTTTGAGCTGTAAGTTTTTGAATACGAAATCCAATTTAGGAAACAACCATAAGATTACCAGAGATTCCAATTGAAATCATCATCGGAGTAACAAAATCTTTTAAAATTGATCAAAAAAAGAAAAAGAAGAAGGCAAAGATTTGGAAGGTACCTGAGATAGGGAAGGAGATAAATGAGAGCATAGACTGCGTAACGCGTTTTCCCAGTGTCAAGCCAAGCGAAGACCCAACTCTGATCCCCAAGAGCAGAGCAGAGCAGAATTTGATTTTCATATAGGGTTTGTTGGCATCAAATAAAACAAAAAAGAAGGATCAAGTTTGGAACAGACCAGCCAATTGAAGTAAGGGATGAAGCTGATAATTCCCATTGCTGCTAATCTCATATCTGTTGACACTATCGCTGAATTCTCCTCTTCTTCTTCCTCATCGGCAATTCGCTTCGCTACCGGAAAAACAAACGAACTCAGTATGCACGCGCCTATTGCCGACGCCAGCGGCGCTTCCTGTGAAAAGTCCGCTCTGCATATTAATCGCTCCTTCCTACACAGCTAAGACGAACAAGAAGAAGAAGAAGACAAAATGTTAGGCACACATACCAAAAAGAAAAACATGATTGCTAGTTTCTTTAATCGATTGTTTTGTTACCTTGTTGTTGTTAGGGTTTTGTAAGGGATGGTAAGCTAGAGTAAGCGCCGAAGAAGAAAGTAGGCGCGGTTTGGCATAGAGAGAACCGGGGATTGAAAGCCACCCAGTCGACGGAGATGCCATTGATTATTCTTCTTTGAGCTCTCTGCTTAGTTGATTTGGATTTAGATTACACGCGCCATCCCTCCCTCCTAGTATTGGGAAAGTGACAGCAGCTTGATTTGTCAGAGAGACAGAAACAAGGCCCACAAATATCATCCTACTTATTGGCCCATTAGCCCAACTTCTTACAACTAATCTTTATTTTGTAAATGTTATTATTTGTTGCTAGTTTTCATTGCATTTGGGAGACTCATTGTGAGTTGAACAAAAAAAAAAGTAGACATTGCGAAGTTCCATGGGGAAAAGAAAAGATTGTATTAAAATGGGAATTCATGCAAAACAAAATCAAAACATCTGGCTGGCTATGGTGATGTCAATACAAAGGCAGAACTATATATGATCATAAAAAAAAGGAGAGGCAAAGGATGAAAAAAGAAAGAAAGTGTGGTGATTAAGCGGTAATAATACCGGCTAAAACATCACTCTTCCCTCTCGCATAAATTGTGTACACCAACCGTATCGCATCCAGCCATCCATCCAACGACTCCCATGAATCTGCTACCTGTTTTTTTTTTCCATATTTTTTTCAGTTTCAGTCTTTTCTTTCAACGGGTACGAATCTTTGAGCATATGTGATATCATGTGAGACGCTTACCAAGTAAACTGGGCCATGAACGGTATCAATGCAGAGACCAGCACCAGGAGGTAGAGTCAGATCAGCACATGGCGTCACTGACACTATCTCTGCTATATTCACTTTTACCGTCTTCTTCTCCACGCTTGTGCTCATTGCTTCTGATTTTCCAGACAGGTTTCTCCCCATTTCTCTTGCTTCAGGTTTCAGTACCTACACCCACGCCAGCTAGTAGGGTTAGCACACAGGCTTTCAAAAATCTCTCTAGAAACCATATCCATCTTTTTGCCTAGTCTCATGATTCAACTTCTTTTGTAACAGAACATTCGATCAAATTGAGAGAGAGTACCTGAAGAAGCCTCTCGTGATTGAGTTCAAACTCCGTGCGTTTCCAATCACTGTGAGGAGCGAGTGAGTTTCCCACAGGTGGTGCCGTTAGATATCCAACCTTAAGATGAGGTAGAGGTAGCTGCCAACATATATTTACATTTACATTTTACTTAGGGTTAATTCCAAAACTGAATCAACTTGAGTGCGTTAAGTGATAAGTCATGAAAAGTTACCATGGAACGAACGAGCCTCAAAGCGCTGCTGTAAACCTGGACCAGTAAAAGGATCAGCCTCTAACCATAATTGAATCAGTGAATTAAAGCCTGCCACTAATACACCTTTTGATTCTAGCAAAAAAGTTGGGTGATCCATCATAGGCTTACCGAATAACTTGGCTTCAAGGAATGAGCTGCAGCGATGTAGATGGCTGATTGGCTGTATAACTCACCCGGAGGAATGTCTTTTCCGTTTCCTGAACCCCCGGTTCTAAGTGTGTCTTCTGCTAATCCATACTGTAATACAGAGAAGGATCCACAGTGATCAATTAACTGGATTGCAGTTTGAATCATGCATGTAAAGAGTTCTGTGAAAGGATTCTCAAAGCATGACTGACCAGAACGGTTCCGAGGTTGTATATGGCTCGATGGAAATCAAACTGCAACCTGATTGCCGCCCTAAACTGTAAAAGTGAGAAGGGAGAGTAAGAAATCTTTCGTAATTATCAAATGAAACGTCTGAATTAGCCAGAAAGACAAGTACACACCTTGCTAATTGCAGTTCTGACCACTTTTTCCTTCTCTCTAGCAGGAACAATTTGGCTGAGTTCCTAATGAGAAAAGGAAAACAAGGGAGTTCTTTGGCATTATATTTTTTGTTAAAGGTAGGCACATCCTATGTCAGAACTGTAATGGAGATTAACACATGTCACTCAGTTACCTGCAACGCCAGTCCCCAGTTGTTTAAGGCCTGCAGATAATTGATAGTTCAAAATTTAAGTAAAAAAAATACAAAAGATTACAATACAGAAGTATACAGTTCACTAAGGTTTGGTTTCGAACAGACGAATTTGTAAAGTTTGTAATTTAGAAAAGGACTATTACCTGGGAACTGTTCCAGTTGAGCTGGACAGCCTTTTCATAGTTGTTGGTTGCCTGTTATTAGAATTTCAAACTGGTATTTAGAAGTTGGGATCAGTTTTCACAATTAGCAGGATAAGGTCCACAATAACTGACCTGTTCCCATAATTCTTCAGCTTCCTTTGTGCGACCACGCATCTTAGCTCTATCAGAGATTGCGATAGCCCAGTTGTAGTATGCCTGTCAAACATAAAAGTTGAAGCCATTTATACGATCTGAAAATCATGATTTTGCTTGTTCACATTTGTGATAGCCATTTTGCAATGACAGAGATGGTAAACAAAACTAACAAGCCTATGAATACATACATCATAGAGCGTAGGGCAGAGACGGGTAGCCTCATCGTACTTTTTACAAGCTTCCTCAAGCAAATCATCTTTAGATGGTGAAACAGAATCTGCGCTGACATTATCAGCACTTTCCTGTGGAGAAATTTATAGGCCGAATCAAAGTCAACTCCTTAATCACACTTCCATATCAATATATACATATTATCCAAAGAGAATCACAAATAAGAGAGAAGTTTATCAAGAGTGAAGTGTAAAATAAGAGAGAAAGAGAGAGACCTGGAGAATAAGTGCCCAGTTGTATAAAGCATCATGATCATCTGGATTTCTCTCAATCGCACTAGCATACCTACAAACGTAAAAAGATGAAATCTAAAGTCAATGAAACTATTCTACTAAAAATCTCTCGTATCTATCAAAGCCTACCTTTGAAGGAATACATTCCAAAGAAATAACAGCTAAACACTAAAGCCTGAAGCCATATCTCTTGTGTAGAGTTGATAATAAAAAAAATGCTAAAACATACTTGCGGGCAGCAAAAGCAAGAACACGCTGGCGAGATCGGCCTTCTTCGTCGTTGACTTGGATCCTGTTTATCAGATCCATTGCAGGATTGTTCTCCGCTGCTGCTTGAGATGCACTCTCTCGGCTGTAAATTAACCAAATTTGGACATGATCAAGGCCCTGATGTTGAGAGCACAAATAAGCTGAAATGGATTAAAATAAAGAGGGATACCTATAGGGGGAAACAGTACTGCGAGGGGTGCCATCTCCTTCATCGCTTTTTAGTTCGCTCAGAAGCTCTCTCATTGTAAATGTCCTGTTTCCTGCATCCTCTTTCTTCATCACCGCCGCCTGCTGCTGGCTTCTTCCCTGATCCCCCTCTTCCGTAGATCCGATCTGCTTCTCCTCCGGCGGCGACAGATCCACATGTGGTAACTCCGGCTCCCTTTCCACCGGTTCCAATTCCTTCGCCTTCTCATCGATTACCACTGCTTCCAATTCCTTCGCCTTCTCATCGCTTACCACTGCTTCCAATTCATCCGCCTTTACTTCCGATTGTATTTCCTCCGCCTTCACCTCCGATTGAATTTCGTCTGTAGATTTGGGATCGTGGTCGGCCAATGGTATCGGGGTCGGATGTTCGTCGACTTTGGAATCAGTGGATGCTGTCGCATTCTGCAGGTGAGGCTCTTCAACGGTATCAGCCATGCTTGCAATTCTTAACAGTCCCCCACACTGATCTAAATCCAACAAGAAAGAAGAATTAAGAGATCTTGTTCAAAAAAAGAAAAAAGAAAAAAATTAAGAGATCTGCACTATTTACTAAAAGTGGACAGACCGATAGAAATGTGTTTAAAACTCTAGCTCACTTAGAGGCTCTCCATCTACAAAAAGTCAAACCTTCTGTTAGATTGCGCAGGTTTAAGTCACGTGATTCTCTATTATCCGTTTATTAATCAATCTAACAGAGTAACAGGGTTGCTTTTTAGAGCATTTCTCAGTCATTAATCCCTTTTACTTCTCTTTTATTTAAGTAACAAAATATTGCAAGACATGAATAAAAACGTTTTCGACCGCTTTTGGGATATTTTTGTTTAACATTTTTAAGTAACAATAACAGATGAACACTAACCAAACAAAAAAAGAGTAACAAGTGATGGTGGTAAAGAGTGAGATTCAATCAACACACACTCTGTCTCTCTCAGATCTTGTCGTGAAGATTGGCAACCAAGTCATGAGCATCGTCAAGAAGTTTCCATACATCAAGATGACCAGCCATGCTATTACATTCCTTCATTATCTCATCCATCCCACTGTACTCCTCTATTATCGTCTTCCTCCTCTGCAGCACGCTTGCCGCTATCGCATATAGCAACAAATCTTCTGTCGGCGGTGCCCCTAACCTTATTCTACCCCATGTCGCCTTTGCAATCCCCGTTCTTATCGCTGCTTGATCCGCCCACATTACTTCCCACAGACACAGCGTCTGCTCAAAGGTCAGCTCTCGTCTGAACAGAACCACCACCATACGGTACACAAAGAAGCAGTCTTCCGCTTCTAGGTTCTCTAAGTGCCTGTACAAGCGGATGTCTTTGCATTTTATGATTTTCGACACCATTGAGAGCTGTCGCCTGATTCCAACCTCGTCAAGCCGGAAATTATTCCGTGCTTTACTCATGAACCCGACAAAGCACCAGAATGCTAAGGCGTCGTCTTCGATTACTGCTATTAATGGAGATAGTAAGTCGCTCATTCCTTGACAGTACCCGATTTCTGGGTCGTACACTGCATAGGCTTCGAGGATCCCAACCAGACGGGCTGCGTGGAAGATCCGGCAGGAGTCCAAGTGCTCGTAGTCGTTAAGACCAACCTGTGTGGCTATTCCTCGGGCTTTTGTGTCAGACACAGCAGCTTGAGACGGTGAGTAGAATACCCATTCATCATTTGCTCTCACTGCATCCAGGCGGATGATTCTCTGCCAAGTTGTGGTGAATTCCTCTTCTGCCTTAGATTTAGGCTTTGACGATGGAGTCAGAGTGCCTTTTTCTTGGTTGATTTTACCGTGGCTTACTGTTTCTTCTTTGGCTACAAGAGGCAAAATCTCGGTTTCTTCTGAGTTAATGGAGTCTTGGTTTTCTGCTTCGTCTTTGGCTATAAGAGGAGAAGTTTCGGTTTCTTCAGAGTTGGCTGCATCTGAGTTAACAGTGTCGTGGCTATCTGCTTCGTCTTTGGCCTCAAGAGGAGAAGTTTCGGTTTCTACAGATTTGGTTGAGTTTGACTTAGAGATGTCTTGGGTTTCTGCTTCGTCTTTCGCTAGAAGAGGTGAAGTCTCGGTTTCTACAGAGTTGGTTGAGTTTGACTTAACCGTGTTGTGGCTTTCTGCTTCTTCTTTCGCTAGTAGAGGTGAAGTCTCGGTTTCTTCAGATTTGGTTGAGTCCGAGTCATTAGCAGTATCTTCGGAGGTAACGCCACTCTTTTTACAGTCCCCATCCTGAAGAATTGATTCGGAATTCAACTCTTCTGATTCTTCTACTTGGATGGATCTCTTTGAACTGTTGACTTCTGCAATATCATGGGAATCAAGAACCTGGCTGTCTTCGGTGCTGCTGCTCTGAGCTGTTTGCTTTGAGTCACAACCATTTTCATTGCGTTTATGAATCTCGCGACACTGTCTCCGCAGGTTTTCGTATTCCTTCCTGCAGGACTTACATATATAAGAATCTATTTACATACTGACACGAAATATAAGTGACAGGAAACTACTACTTTCTATTCATCGTTTTATCTACACATTTAGCAAGTCACTAACCAGTTGCCACCTAACGGGAACAGAGAAAAATGGGAAACATAATGTTGGTAGAAAGTTGAGAAGCCATGAAACTCTACATAAGTATAAGCAAACGTACTGTTTCTGCTGTCGAATAGAACCTCTTTCTTCTTCTGTGCTGTTTAAGTCATACCTGTGAGAGGTAAGTAGAATAAGGTTACAGCGTGTCGGGAGTACTCATAAATTGAACTAAATATAGAGTGAAGGCCGGGATAGTCTTACAAAGCCCCAGGAAAAAAAAAACATAAGGCGACTCAGGAAAAAAAGACATAAAGGCGACTCTGAGACTTTCCCATCTGAATATTCACTTCTAATTATGAGTACTTTACTGGTGTGCTGTTTATTCTACTTTAAACCTATATAACATAAATGACCAACCCCAAAGAAAAATCTACACTTCAACATTTAGAACATGCATGAGTAACAACAAACTTAAGGCCAAAACAAGGGAAAATCTCCATGGAAAACGCAAAGTATATAACTGGGTGGGTCAAATCCAACTTCAGCATTAGGTACATAAAAGAAGGAAAAAAATGAAAAAGATGCTGATTCTTACACTCCAAGGAGGAACGGCCAAACTTCTGGTCTGATGCTTGGATCCACACCCTGAAAACAAATATGGGAAAATTTTGGGTTATGGGAAACTTTTTGGGTTAAAATCAGAGTGTTCAAAAGGTTAGTCAAAAAGCAGCATACCCCACTGCGAACTTTCTTGAGAAATTTGACACCTCCATCCCTGAGTCGACCTTGGTGGGTGAAAAAAGAATTCCACTGACTAGGCTGAAGAGCATGCTTTCTTCTCCTCAGTGGCCAAGGTGATCCTATGCTCCCTCTGAAGAAGTGGATGAGCAACTTCAGTAAGTAAGTAAATAAAACAAGCTACATGTTTTCTTTAAATACCAAGAAAGCATAGCAACCAATACGCCATTCAAGATAACCCAATAAACAAGCTAATCTAACTTATCACAAAAAGCTTTGCTGATTGGACCCTCCAAGAAGCAACTAGAAATACTATCAAATCAAATCTACTTAAAACTTGAGAGTAGTGAACAAACTTGGCTTCTCTCTCTCTCTAGAGTAGAACACAGCCAGATCTTTGATGTTTACAAATCAATATATACCTACGGGAGTAGACGGTGAAAGCCATGGCGAGACCGGCCATGACGGTGATAGCGACAGCTAAGCCAACATTAGAAGGAGCAACAGCCGACGACCATAATCCGCCGGAGTGGCCGTTCCTCGCGCCGCCGCCGCTGCCATCGGCAAAGACGATCCATCTCCCGCCGATGATCAGCAAGAAGAAGACCACGGCGAAGGAGCGAATAGCCATGGTCGTCGTCAATCGTAGTCGTCCAAACATCATACCCCCAAGCAAGCTAAGCTAGGGATCCGCTCACTATTTTATTTTTCTCCAAGATTTCTAGACTCTCATAACCCTTTGTACAGCGGGCTCCACACGCAAATTAAATGAAAATTGTTTAAAGACAGAGTTGACGGTGGTTTGGTTAATGAATTCGGCCCATGGGCCTTCATACAGTGGGGTTAAAACACTCCAGCTTTTTTGATATTATTTTAGTTGTAATTTAAGTATTTTTTTTAAAAAAATATTTTTTTTATCATAAAGATATATAATTTAATTTTTTTATCATAAAAATATCTCATAATGTTAATCTATACTATTATTTGCGAAGTGATTTTTCACAACGGAACTCCTACGTTAAAAGTTGGAGTGGTTAATATCGTTTATACCCTTAATGAATAAAATATATAAATCAGCAAAAATAAAAAAAAATGAATTTATATTTATTTGATTAGATAAATAATTTAAATTAATAATAAGGATAAAAATTATCCATAATCTAAATATATATTTAAAAATAAAATAAAAAGATAATTCCTATATATATTGTGTTCTTATCAGAAAAATATATTTAATTAATATATAATCAACCACAAATTATAAACAAATTTCACTGATTTGATGACTATTATTATCTAAAAATAGTTGATATTAATAAACCATAAACTAAAACTGAATTAATATATAAGTAACAATAAATTAATTATATTTAAATAAGTGAATTTTCTGATTTATCATATTCTCCATAATTTTATGTAATTATACTTACTAGTTGCATACTCCCCGCGCAAGCGCGGAGCCGGAATCATTATGTTTGCGTATATTTTTTTCGATTTAGTGGTTTAGTAGATTCTTCTAATGACACCAAATATTAATGAAATGAAAAGAATGTAGTAAGAGTGTAAAATGAAAATATTGTATATCTAATGTGTTAAATGTTACTTATATGCGAAGTAAGGTTTATAGGAACAATTAGATTATAATATAGTTTTTAGTGTGTAAAAGTAGGTGTCTATTTTTTTTTTTGCTGTAAATAGTTTTTATATCGTATGTCAAAACTTGATATAATTCTATATTTATAGTATTTATATTTGTATTAAACGATTTATCAATTTAAAAATAACCTTAATTAAGTTAATATTCGTTGTTTAAGTTTCATTAGATAGGTTTATATATATGGTTTTTTGTAAGTTTGGGTTTTGTTCATAAATGATGGGGCATTTTTATCTACGGCGTCATCGAGGAATCCATTCGCCGAAGTCTAGAGTCGGTGGTGAGGAATGTTTTCAATGAAATTATAGTAGTTATTAAAATGTAAGAGAAATTACATATTCATTTAATAAATAACGAAAAATACTTAAATTTTGTTGNTCATAAATGATGGGGCATTTTTATCTACGGCGTCATCGAGGAATCCATTCGCCGAAGTCTAGAGTCGGTGGTGAGGAATGTTTTCAATGAAATTATAGTAGTTATTAAAATGTAAGAGAAATTACATATTCATTTAATAAATAACGAAAAATACTTAAATTTTGTTGTTTATTTTATTTTATTTCACATACAATTTTTTGAAAATATATTAGGAATGAGTTAAATGTTATTTATATGGGAAGTAAGTTTATAGGAATAGTTAGGCTATAATATAGTTTTTCGTGTGTAAAAGTAGGTATTTTGTTTTTGCTGTAAATAGTTTTTATATCGTAGGTCAAAACTTGATATAATTCTATATTTATAGTATTTATATTTGTATTAAACGATTTATCAATTTGAAAATAACCTTAATTAAGTTAACATTTTTTGTTTAAGTTTCATTAGATAGGTTGTTATATATGTTTTTTTGTAAGTTTGAGTTTTGTTCATAAATGATGTGGCATTTTTGTTTACGGCGTCATCGACTGTGGGAATCCATTCGCCGGAGTCTGAAATCGGTGGTGAGGAATGTTTTCAACGAAATTATAGTAGTCATTAAATTGTAAGAGAAATTACATATTCATTAAATAAATAACGAAAATAATTAATTTTTGTTGTTTTTTTATTTTATCTCATATACAAATTTTTTGAAAATATTTATTAGGAAATATGTGCAATGATTTCACTTTTTGAGCTTTTAATCTATATTATTCAAGCCTCATTAAGCCATCCACGTAGATAGCCGCGTGGGATTCACTTTTTTTTTTGGTCGGTTCGTTTTTGGATTCATTTTTTATTATTTTTGGGTTGAACTATATTATAATAGGATAGTTTTAAGGCTCTTTAAGCCATCCGCGTAGGCAACCGCGTGAGACTTGCTTTTTTTTTTATTGTTCGTTTTTGCATCCATTTTTAACTATTTTTAGTTTGAACTCGGTAAGCTTTAGGGTTTATCCAACTATTTTGATCTTTAAAACAGTAAGTCATAAAAAACATAAAAACCTTACAAACAAAAAGCCCATATGATAATAACCTAAATAAAAAATCAAAATTAAATGATGGCCGCGTGGTTTGAACCCACGATCTTGCATGCTTAATTAGATACCTTATACCACTTGACTAAAGTGTATTTTATTGTTTGTAATCATCTTACCAAGACTATAAGTTTTAAAAAAAATATCTATAGGACCCACAAAACTGCTGACGTGGCGCGTTGTGGAGTTTAGAAAGTGTACTATTATAATATAGATTTATCATGTTTTTATGATTTTGACTAATAATTAATTATTACCCTTAATTAATGACTAAATAAAATTATTATTATATAATTATGAACCGTATATTAATTAGATTTACTACCCTTAATGACAAAGCAAACATAAACTTAATGACTAATTGGATTTATTACTATATAATGACTAGTTAGATCTATTACTATATAATAATTAGAAACAAATCTTATTTGTCATGTTTCTTATGATTTGATGATTATCATTATCTAGACTAATGATTATAATAAATCTAATTATTCATTAAGGATAGTAAATCTAATTGTCATGTTCTTATTATTTTTACTACCCTTAATGACAAAGCAAACATAAACTTAATGACTAATTAAATTTATTACTATATAATGATTAATAGTTATTACTATTTGACCAAAAAAAAAATTATTACTATATAATAATTAAGAATTTCAATATGTAATTAAACATAAGTAAAAAACGAATTTCAATGATTTTAGATTTATCTTTATATAAAAATATTTTATATTGGATTATAAAATCTTTATTAACCTTGAAATATAATTATATTTTTAGTAATATATCATTAGTTATAAATTAAAAATAAATTTCATTTATTTGATAATCATCCTTTTTTTTATATTATGTCTTTATCAACATTGAAAAATAATTATATTTAAAATAATTATATTTGTTAATATAGTTAATTGTAAATTAAAAACGAATTTCATGAATTTGATAATTATCATTATCTAATTTTTTTATTGTGTTATAAGTCTTTATTAACCTTGAAAAATAATTATATTTGTTAATATATATTTAATTATGAAAAAATAATTCGCAAAGAATTTATGTATAGATAGTTTACATTACTAAAGATAATTTTATTATAATTTTTGTGTCTAAAAATGATATTAATTTATTAGTAAATATTTTAAATTTATGAGTATTTTCACATTTAATTTGTGTAATGACAATTATTTATATAATGATGAAAAATTTTATATATAGAAAAAAATTGTTTAGATTATTATTAAATATTTTGAGTGTATGAACAATAATTTATTATAATTTACTTAAATTGATTATATTTGTTTATAGATATTAGAAAATTATTAAGTCCGCAAGTGCGGGCAAAACACCTAGTTATCTTGATACTAGTACTATGGTCCCTGCTATACATATTCAAAATATATTTATCAATATAAAATATTAATACAAAAAGTAAATGTATATGAATAGTACAAATATACAAAAAGCATGCACATTGTTTTACAAAATCGTCTATATTAGAAATTTATAGCAAATAAATATAAATATTTTTTGAAACAAAACGTTCGTATAGCATTAACAGTTCTTATTTTGATTGTCATTGTTTACTTGACTTGATAGTGTTTATCTTATGAATCTTTAAACAAATTAATATCAATGTTGAAATGAAATTAACCAACTTGATGGTTTCATTATAAATTTCAATAGCATATACAAATGGCTGATGCAGAGATCCACTAAATAAACGAAAGTGTAATAACAAATAGAGGATTTGTAAAGTAAAAACAAAATCGTGGAAATATTGTATTCTAGTGGTTAAAGTTTAAAAGTTTATATATCCAAGTCTGAGGTTTGAACCCCAAACTATGTCATTTCTTGTATATTACACATTATAGGAGATCCCGGTTTCAATCTCTGGAGAAAGTAATTTATGCAAATTACGAAAGAAAGACTTACAATGGATCTTCAACATGGTGCAAATAAATCCAATCAGACGCGAATTTTTATAAGATTACTCTCGTGATGTAGTTAGACGTAGATTTTCATAAGACATATAGTATTGTCGGTTGTCAAATCGTCTATGTAATCTTTCTCATAATTGTACTATCAGAATGACTCGCGTTGAAAAAAAAAGAAGTAAAAACAACATCTCACTGCATTACACCATTAGCGTTTATGAACTCGGATGGCTACATGTTAAACTCCTTTCAAGTCAGCTTTCTTTGGTCATAAAACTCTGCCAAAATGAATTCAAATAAAGAACTGATAAAAAAGTAATTGTGAATCAGATTTGGCGTCAATCATACATAAAAACCTCAAAACTTGTCATTGGTAGATGAAACAAAAGTGCAAAAACAATCACTCTTCTTTTACAAAAACTAACTATTGTTTTTCAAAGGAGAAAAGATGTTATTTTCAATGATTCTTTGATTCAGTTTCTTTCTGTCTTCGTGTTACCAAGAATTGTAAGCTTAGTTCTATGAACAAGAAAAGATTTAGAATCAATATCTTGAATTTTTTGGATGAATATGGAGAGAAAGTGAAAGAGGTGATGTTTTTAGTTCATAAAAAAGAAATGGAAGAAGTGTAAATTGATTTTAGGTGTATTAAGAGTTTCAAATTGGTTGTTCGTGGTGG